CCCCGGGCACGCCGAGTGCAGCAGCTCTCCACCCCAGCTCACCTCTGCTACGTCCCCTCCCCGAGCACGCCGTCGCTGCTCCACTTCTCCCACCTCCCAGGCTTGCGGCGCCAATCAGCTGATTGGCGCTGCAAGCCTGGGAGGCGGGAGAAGTGGAGCGGCGACCGCGCGCTCGGGGAGGGGGCGTAGGAATGCTGTAAAAAAAAATTGGGGGCACCGCTTTTTGGCGCCCCCAAATCTTGGCACCCTAGGCAACTGCCTAGTTTGCCTTAATGGTAGCACCTGCCCTGTGGAAAAGTGTGGGAGAATTTAGAATTTTTTCCCTAGTTGGCTGCACTGCAACCCTTCCAGAGTGCTCTTTTCCCCATGTAGAGCACCCCCAGCTTCCAGCCAACACTCACCAGGCTTGGGATGTTCACCAAGGGTCAGTGAGAAAGTGATTGTTATGTTACTAGAGGTGTATTTTACTGAAATGTTTCAATGCTGTGCGTGAACTTAACAATCACATTTCTGTGCATTGTTTCTTGTGCTTCTGCAGATGTGGCCTTGAAGGACACCCCACACACACGGGCAGAGCGTCTTTGCCAGACAAGAAAGTGCCCAAGACGGAACAAAGAAGACATGTTACGAGAGGTACTGCAGTTCTCCAATGAAGAGAAAAGGGAATGCAGGGAGTGGAGGGAAGCCGAAAGGCAGGACAGAAAAGAAAATTAGGAGTTTGTTAAGGACACTACTGAGCAGATGGTTAAAGTCATGGAAGAGCAAACACAGATACTGAAGTCCTTAATAATGCCTCAGATTGAGCAGATGTGTGCCCGCCCTCCCCTGCAGCACATTCAGAACTCTTTTTTTCATGCCCCCCCAAACTCCATCCACACATTCCTTTCTGCTTTCCAGGAGTTCTCGGTTTCCCATTCACTCCACCCTCTCGGACAACTTTCAAAATGATAGCTGGACCTACACACAGCTCTGAAAGTCTGCCCTTCCCTGGTTCCTCCTTTCCCACCAAGCATCTTTGTGTGTTTGTGCGTGTGTTGTTTTTTCTGAAATAAAAGCAAATTTTTGAACAATAACTAATCTTTATTTGTGTCATACAAATTGAGATAGCAGGCACTACCAAGCCATACACAGGCAGTTTAATCATTTGCTTACTGGAATTTAAGGCTCGAATTTCACAATTGCTTTCTATGAAAACTAGATGTAATGTAACATTGCAGTACCAATCACAGAGATGTACATTACTGGTTCTCATTTTCGAAGTGTTGCCTCAAAGCCTCCCTGATTCAAATAGGCCCCTCTGATAACCCTGGTATCTGGCTGCTCAAAATCAGCAGTGAGGCGGTCTGCCTCAGCACTCCACCCCTGAGCAAACCTTTCACCTTTAGCTACACAAATATTATGCAATGTACAACATGCGGCTATGACCATGGGTATAATATCCTCACTGAAGTCTAACCTGCCATAAAGGCATCGCCAGTGCACCTTTAATCTGCCAAAGGCACATTCCACGGTCATCTGGCACCTATTCAGCCTGTTGTTGAACCACTCCTTACTGTTATCCAGGTTTCCTGTGTAAGGTTTCAGGAGCCATGGTTTTAAGGGGTATGCTGGGTCTCCCAGGATCAATATGGGCATTTAAACATCCCCCACTGTAATCTTCTGGTCTAGAAAGAAAGTCCCTGCTTGCAGCTTTCTGTACAGGCCGGTGTTCCTGAAGATGTGTGTGTCATGCACTTTCCTGGACCACCCCGCATTGAAGTTAGTGAAATGCCAATGGTGATCCACAAGCGCCTGCAATACCATGGATAAGTACCACTTCCTATTTATGTACTCTGTCGCAAGGTGGTCTGGTGCCAGAATTGGAATATGTGTGCCATCTATCGCCCCTCCAGTTAGGGGAAACCCATTTCTGCAAAGCCGTCCACTATTTCACGCACATTTCCCAGAGTCACACTCCTTCGTAGCAGGATGCAATTAATTGCCCTGCACATTTGCATTAACGCAGCCCTAATGGTCGACTTCCCAACTCCAAACTGATTTGCGACCCATCAGTAGCAGTCCGGAGTCGCAAGCTTCCACACTACAATTGACACTCACTTCTCTACCAATAGGGCAGCTCTCATTCTGGTATCCTTGCACTGCAGTGCTGGGGCGAGCTCTGCAGACAGTTCCAGGAAGGTGGCTTTCTGCATCTGAAAGTTCTGTAGCCACTGCTTGTCATCCTAGACCTGCATGACAATGTAATCCCACCATTCAGTGGTTCTTTCCCAAGACCAAAAGCAACGGTCCACCATGTGCAGCTGTTCTGTGAATGCCAAAAGAAATCTAAAGTTGTTCCTATCCATATTACACACCATGTCAGGCAACTGGGAGTCTTGTTCAGTTAGGAACTTCATGATTAACAATACTGCCCTCTGCGATGTGTTAATGACACTATCCGAGCATAGGAGAACGGAGCAGGATCCATCCCTTCATTCAAAGATGCCAGGATGCACAGCAAACAAGGGCTGTTGAAAAATGCCACAAAAGAAAGCCGGAAGCCCATGGAATGCTGGGATGGAAAACAATGCATCATGGGACACTGAGCTTGGTCCCAAGATGAGCCGCAATCTGCTCCACCTTCCCACAAGACCTAGCGGCAGAAGGTGTTGAGCTGCACTGTGGGATAGGTACCCACAGTGCACTGCTCACACTGTCGATGGTAGTGCCCCAAGTGTGAATGTGCTCTGCCAACAGAGGGAGTGAGTGTGAATATGGAATACCGATTTTTATTATAGCGCTTTTTGATTGTCAACATAACTTTTATCAACAAAACTATAGTGTAGGCAAGGTCTTACTGTCCTTCACAGATCTCAGTGTCTGATTCCATCCTTTGTGAAACAACAAACAAATCCCCTTTCCATTCCCACTTTTTGTTGCCAAGTCTGTGTCTTGATCCACACTAAATACTTCTCTTGTATAACTACATCGCACAGGGGTGTGAAAAATCCACACCCTTGAGCGACATAGTTACACCAACCTTAACACCCCATGTATACAGTGCTATATCGGTGGGAGAGCTTCTCCTGTCAACATAGCTACCCCCTCTCAGGGAGGTGGAGTTATTAAGCTGACGGGAGAGCGCTCTTCTATTCGCTTAAAGCGTCTTCACCAGATGCGCTACATTGGTGTAGTGTAGATCTGCCCTGTCTTTCATGGTCTTAAAGTAAAAACTGATTTGGAAACTGTTTATTTTGTATAATATTTATGGAAATCAATTAAGATATATTTGTTTTTATTTTGCACTCACTAGATTGAATGTTAATGGTTCTAGGGGGCCTGATCCAATGTTCATTGAAGTCAATGGGAATTTTGTCCTTGATTTTGATGGTGAGGTTTTGATAACTATTTCCATCTTGTTCACTACTGTGGAATGTATTGAAAAATAATCCTGGTTGACTTCAGTGGAGTTGTAAGTGGGAGAAAAATGTCTTCTGATAAAATATTATGAGTGTTTTGCTGAAGAGCTAGAGCACAGGCCTGACTTTTAAAGTATTATGCCTGGTCTCTCTGAAACTTACTGACATGAGTGGTCTTTACTGATGCTAGTTCCATTGACTAAAGTGAGTCAGGGTTACTAGCATCAATAAGAGCTTGCAGGACTGGGCCCAATATTTTTACAAATATGTGTAAAAAATAAAACTGCTTGAAGGCATTAGTTGTTATGAGCATTAATACTAATGAAAATTTCAAAATGAACGTTTTAGCTGTTTTTCCTTTAGAAGTGAGTGAAAAATTATTCAAAACCAAAAATATTGTTTCTTCTCAGTTCGTGAGACAAAAAAAATTGCTTATGGAATTTTGCACCATGGAGTTCACCATGGAAAAGGCATATACAGTAGAACATCAGAGTTACGAACACCAGAGTTATGAACTGAGCAACCACATACCTCATTTGGAACCGGAAGTATGCAATCGGGCAGAAGAGACACCTCCTTCCCCTCCCCACAAAAGCAAATAGAGTACCATACTGTATTAAACGTAAAGTACTAAAAAAATAAATAAAGAGAAAGCAGCATAGTAGAGTTTCAAAGCTGTATTAAGTCAATGTTCAGCTGTAAACTTTTGAAAGAACAACCATAATGTTTTGTTCAAAGTTACTAGAGTTACAAAGATTTCAGAGTTATGAACAACCTCCATTCCCGAGGTGTGTTTAACTCAGAGGTTCTACTGTATGTACCAATTTTTAGTAAAAGCAGTTTTCTAAAATCCCAAATTCTCAAACTATAAATCCTTGAAACTAAGATTATAAAATAGAAACACTGGTATAATTAAACTATAGCATTGCAGTTGCAAGGCTGCAATGAAGATTTTAACAGTTTCAGCAAATATCATTGAGGATGGGGGTGGGGTACGTGTGAAAGGTGAAATCATTCCTTGCCTAAATATGTGGATGCCAAGTTTCGACCTATAGTGGATGTAAGTGACAAATTATAGCTCCACATTTCCATCTGAAACATCAATTTAACCATGTCTTTTGTGCTATGAATACAGTATTACATTTCTGATAATTGAATTTGCAAGGTTTGCGAGGGTTCAGCTTAGTGAATAGTCGCAAATTTATTTTGACATCTATAAATTAGACAATATGTTAGTACATGCCTGTTTCAAGAATAGAAGAAACCATGACAATAACCTCACCATACCTAGATTGATTATTAGCATAAAATTAAGAGGGGGGGAAGTGATTGCAATAATTTCATGTTTCCACAGAGAAATATCCTTCAACAAAGGAGAAAAAGCTGGGATCTACAAAGAGTGTGATCTTGAATAGTTACAGACATTTACAAATGAGCTAGTTATGAATGTGCAGAATTTAGAAGTGTGAAATAGACAGCTGAGCATGCTAAGAATGCAGAATATGAATATACTAGTAATTTACATTCTGAAGGAGCTGGTTCTTGTTTTCCTTGGCAGATGAACTAAATCAGTCGGAAACCCATGTTCAGAATCTAATTTTGTATAGACTGTTGGGGATTTTTTAAAGTGCAACAGTTAATTCACCAAGATTGGAAAAAGACGAGTGTTTGGAAAGGTCTGAGTCTTCTCTGAAATGAACTGATGCCAGCTCAGACATTTGTAAACAATAATATAGCAGAGTTCACTTCTCTATATGATGGCAGCTAGGACCCCCAGAGATTTGCTTCTGCATTGTGAAATAAGAGATAGTTATGTGATGGCTTAATTTTTGGGATGTTGACATTTAGGGATACAATTGTAAATTTAAATTGGCTAGTAGAAACTTGTAATCTATGCCTAAAAAAAAAAAAAAAAAAGACAAATAATCTGCAACAAAGGGAAAATACCTGTAGTGTTTTTAAAATGACAGAACTTGAGTGCTTTTGGGTAGGCAGTTCTGTTTTCACCACAGCAGCTTTCCTTAATGGGCAGAGTGGAATGAAGTAGAAATTGAAATGGTGAGATTGCATTTGATTTTTAAGTGGGGAAAAAAATCATTAACATTGCTTCTCAAGTGCCTTCACGCTGAAGCTGTTAACTTGTCCGGGGGAGGGGGGGCAAGCTCTTGGCTGACATTAAATCAGTGCTGTTGCTCAGTTTAGATTACTGGGTGCTGGACTGAACTCTCCACTAAAATTCCAGCAGGAAATATTAGTGATTGCCACTAATCTCTCAGTGACCCTGAAATAATCATGTTGCTACCAGATGGAAGATGCTGTTTTCCTATATCCTTTTGCAGATGATAAATTCATAGTTGAATGATAAGAACACAGTTTGTGCTTTCAGAATACAAATCATGGTAGAGATCTTTAGAACTGCGTGTTCTGGTTTATTCATTGATATTATGATAATCAGCCACACACTGACCTCATTCCCTTAGGAATTGTTTTCTTTTATTTAATAGGCGCCTAAATCTAATTATTTGGAGAGCACTATCTCGAGAGGAAAGAGACAAGTAAGTTTTCACCTTCTTCCTGTCTCAATAATTTAATTTTTGAAACATTTATTAATGGAATGGGAGCTACGGTGCTCAGCACCTTTGAGAATCAGGCCATAAATATTTAACACACTTTTTTGGCTGCTCTTGTCATGGCCAGTTTATTTTACTTTCAAGTATTTCCTGTCTACACCTTACTGGTAAAAATTGTTATGTGTGACACGGTAACATGTAAGCTTCAGGTTTTGGTTTGCCACCCACTGAGTTCAGGGACGGCACAACCCATTAGGCGACCTAGGCGGTTGCCTAGGGCGCTAACATTTGGGGGACGGTGACCACGGCGGCCGGATCTTCAGCCGCCCTGGTCGTCGTCGGTATTTTGGGGGCAGGACCTTCCGCCGCCTCTGTCGGGGGCGGTATTTGGGGGGCAGGACCTTCCGCCGCCTAGGGCAGCAAAAAAGCTGGCGGAGCTCCTGACTGAGTTACAAAGTGAGAGGATTTTTTCTCCCCCTTGCTGTTCACTTTTGTAAAAGAGAATAAGCACTTCCCCTTAACAGTGTTAATCTATGCTCAGTGTGAGTGGCAAGGGGTTAGGAGGACTGGGACATCATCATCTTTGGCATCAGCATAAACCCTTCTCTGCTTAGCCAGTGAGTAGCACTCCAAGGATTGGTTTGTGAGGGGATAAGCTATACTGATTATGAGCACCTTTACACTGGTATGACTGCGTCTACACTGGGGATTTGTAGCACTTTAATCAGATTGGGTTTTAAACTGATATAGTTAGAATGGTACAAAAACTGTATGTAGAACAGCCCTAAGAGCAGTGAAGTTAGCACCTATTTACTTCACAGGGGCAGTGTGCTGCTTAATTACTTAACATTTGTAAAGTGTCTTGAAAATGAAAAACATTACTACGTATAATTGTAAACTGTTGTAATTTTTTTAAAGGTTTGAGCAGGAGGAGTCAGTCTCGTATATGGAACACAAGGAAGCTTTGCTACAGGCCTTAGAAAATCTTGGTTGGCCTGTTTCTTATGATGATGTGACACTTTTGGAAGATGAGATTCTGGCAGGGTTAACATACATCCAACAAGCCTCTGATCTTCAGGAAGCTGCCAAAAAGGAGATTCAGAGAACCTCTGTATCGCACATCAACCACAGTAAAATGGTAGGTTGTACTAGCAGGGCAATCAAACATTTTCTTTCAAATGTTCTTCAGTGTGTGCTCCTAGGATAATTTCACCTGTCACTTAGCTACTTGATAGGTTGGCACTAACCATAACTCTATACAAACTGGGGAAGAACATGCAGACTGAGTTGCTAATCATGCTTCTAAAAAGAGATGAAGCTGTAGTGATCACCTGCTATTTTGTAGAAAAGTTTGTTTCCCTATTGTAACTAGACCAGTAAGGGGTTGTGTCACCGCCTGCCCTGCATCTCTGGGATCTTAAATGCTAAGCTGCTGTGGCTCACAGTCCAGACACCAGCAGCCAGCAGACAAGCATACAGGTTACACCCTGTCTTCCACCACCCAATTACTTTCTGCAGGGTGACCCCAATGCCTCCCCAGTCCTAAATTTTCCAAAAACCGTCTGACCTGTAGTGCCCAACCCTCTTGCTAAACATTCACAGACGGTATTAAGTTCATTGCTCCTTAAAGAGACAGTACCCAGCAGCTTATTAGCTTAACTTGGGTTAAGGTAATCACTCTATTTGAATCAAAGCACGAAATTGGTTTATAGTAAAAGTAAAAAAAGTGTATTAACAAAAAAGGTTTAAGTGATACCAAGTATAAGGAATAAAGCTAGAAAGGATTACAAGCATACAAAAGTGAAAATACACTTTTAAGACTAAAACCTGATATAACAAACTTGTTCAAATAAGTGTTTCTCACCAAGTCTCTTTTCCAACTTGGCTGACCAGGCATTCTGGCCAGGACCTTTCATAGAGCTCAGAATGCTTGGTTCCTTTGTCTCTTCAGGTGAAGGATAACTTAGGGTTTTTCTTCCTCTCTCTTTATAGTCTAGTAAATCTTTGAAATGTATTCTTTGAAGTATATCCCTAGATAAATTTCCTTTGCCCTGCTGGATGTAGATGGTAGGCTGTCTGGTGTAGACTCCATGCTGGTTCCTTCCCCACTGGTGGTTTTTGACAAAGCAAATGATCTCTTCCTGCAACCGCCAATACAATAGAGTAGCCTGTTGAATTTGTCCACACCTGGTTTGAGGTGTTGGCCTCTTTCCTTTGTCTGGAGAAAACCCATTTGTCAACTCCCCTGACACGCCTGATCTAAACACATTTTAATCACATATTTCCAGCACACCTGTAAAGTTCTTTGTGGGTTAAACATACATATATCACATGAAAATTTTAATGATCATTGAGTTATTAGTTTTCCAGTGATATATTACATGCCACCTCTTGGGTAAATATTATAGCTCTGTGCCATCTGGAGTCACACCTATAAAAATATATGCATACACACATACCTCATGTTTCTTTTCATTAACAAAAGGTAGATTTGTTTCCTCTGAAAAGGAATACTTAACTGTAATCATTTAGGGTGAAATTCATGCTCCTGCATCATACTAAGCCTGAGTAGTTAGATTTTGTGCAGGGAACTCCATAGGGGTTGGACTGGATAGAATCCACCACCAGCCCAATTTGTTGGCTATCTGCCACCATTATTCCAATCTATGGGGCTGAAATAGTGGCGATTGCACCTCCACATTTCCATTCGAGGTGCTTTTGGGCCATGTAAGTGCAGCAAATTTGAGCCCTTCTCTGGGTATATCTACACTGCATTGTAAACCCAGTTCTGTGGGATCTGGGCTTGTGGACTTGGTGTTTCCAAGCCCAGGCTCTAGCATCCACACTGCATTGTAAATCTGGATTTACAGTTGCTGGACCTGGGTCTCACAGCCATGCTAACATGTCCATTCTGCACTACACAGGCCTTCTGGCTCAGGCCTGCATCTTGCACTGTGTCCACATTGTAAAATGAAAGAGGTTGGACCTGAGTCTCAGAGTGATTCAGGCCCTGACCCATCTCCCTAGCAGAGTTGTAGGACCTGGTCCTGAGTGCTTGCTGACCTGAGTGAGACTGCTTTGTGAGTAAATGGAAGCAGAGCTTCGGCTTAAACCTGAGTCAGAGCCTAAACATATCCTCTTTTCCCCCTGGCAGTTTCTCTGCCTGTGATCCTCCTAAACACAAGGCTAATAGAGAGCTTAAGTGGTTAAGTGGGCTTTGTGCAGGCCCTCCACCCTTTGGGTGAGTTTTACTATTGCATACTAGTGAGATTCCTGTAGGACATTTCTATATCTGTATGTACATATAACATATTCTTTAAATGTTTTTTCGGTAAGCTAAAACTTTCATTGCTTTGTAGATTGTTGACCATTGCAATAACTTTATGGTTACCATTTCTCTCTTCCAGCTCTTTAGAGCAGGGGTCTCAAACACGAGGCCCACGGGCCGCTCTTCCCTGTGGCCCGCCAAGCTCCCCGTGCCCCCCCCCCCCAAGTTATTTTATGTGGCAGCTAATCTCCCTGCTCGCTGCTCCCCAATGTTTGGGGCTGGGTCTCTCCCCCGGCCCCGCCTGCCACCCCCATGCGTCTCCTCTGAGTGTCCCCCGGGCTCACGTGCTGCCCCCTCACTGCCCGGAGCCTGCAGCTCATGCTGACTCCACTCCACTCTGCCGGCTTCCAGCATCACCTGCTGCCGCAGGGTCCTAGTGCTCCCCTCCACTCTGGCCAGGGCAGGCTGCCCTTCCCCTTCCCTTCTGCCCTAGTTCTGAGCCTCTCCAATGCCCCGAGCCTCTCCAATGCCCCAAACCCTTCATCCCCAGCCCCACAACCCTCACCCCTGCACCCCCTCCTATCTCCAAACTCCATCCCAGTGCCTGCACCCCAGACCTCCTCCCCCATCCAAACTCCCTCCCAGAGCCTTAGGCAGGTGGGGGTGGAGTTTGGGGGAGGGCAGGTTCTGGGCACCACCAACATTTCTACAAACCTGCCACCCCTGGAAGAGGCAGAGCAGGGGTGGAGTGGTGGTGCAGCCCAGTGCAGTGGGGGGGGCTTTAACAGAAGTAAATTTAACTAAGTGCGTGTTTTGTCCTTTGAATGAGGTGCATTACTGTTGGTGGCGCTTACCACTTTCCAGGGGGGAGGAGCAGGGAGCCGCGTGCTCAGGGGAGGAGGTGGAGAAGAGACGGGGCAGGGGCGGGGCCTCATGGAAGGGGTGGAGTGGGGGTGGGGCCGGGGGCAGCGAGGGGGGGGTGTCAGTGATCCAGCCCTTGGGCCAATGCACTAGTCCTCATGTGGCCCTCGTGGTCATTTGAGTTTGAGACCCCTGCTTTAGAGGGTGTTTGAGGGCAGTTTGTAGAAGGCAAGTTCTGGGCTTGCAACTATTCTGAAGTGTTGAATGTGTGTGGGGCTTGGTTTTGGTGTGGTATGCAGGTGAAATACTAGCTGGCAAACTTGGTATATCACTTCCTTGTAAGTACCTGTGGGGGGTGCAGCTCCAGTATAGAATACAGGTATCCATACTTGTGCTGTAGGAAGAGTCCAATCTTAAGCTTCACGATTTTACTCTTTCAGTATCCATGCTGAGGCACAGTGCCAACCCTCGCAAAAGAGGCACAGTGTCAAGCCTTCAGCTCTCCTACAGTTTTACAGTGATGGAGGGAAGTAGATTTGAACTCCAAATCAATACTCCCTCCCTGTACAAATTAATCAGCCCCAAATGCAGGTAACATACATACAAAAGTTTACCATAAATCAATGAACATTATTTCTAAGAAACAGCAATTATGAATAACTTGCCAACAGATTCCATTTTGGTTTGACAATATTATTAACAGATAATATTTACCACTTAACAGTATCCATAAAAAAGAATGCTGAAATTGAGATAACAAAAGTACATATCTCCCTCTGGGTCAGAGTTAAGGATGTAGTGACATGTTACATTTCTTTAGGCTTAACAAGAATAGTTTATTTATTTGTTTGAGTGTAATATTTATGATATGCTTACATATTCTTTCTTGTTTTCGTTTTGTAAGTTATGTGATAGGTAAATACATTTTTGGCCTTAGTCTTAAATGTTTTTTCTTTTTTTTTTGAATATGGAAATGTTTTTTTAGTATTTTCTTACAAAATGCCTTAAAGTAAATGTGTGCGTGTGTATGTATGTCTGTGTGTATGGTGGGTTTTCTTTTTGTTTTTTGTTTTGTTTTAATTTAGAATTTCTTTGCAAATATAAATATTTTTTAATTTTTAACAGTTTTTTAAAATAATTGTCAAGGCTAAACTGATTATCACTCTGAGTATTTCTTGGAAAAGAATTTTCCTTCTCCAATTAAGATTTTTAAATTAATTAAAATTTTAATTGATCTAATGCTTTAGATTCAAAATAACTTGTGTGATGAAATATTTATTGATCCAAGACAGCTACTTAATTTAGCAACAATTGCATAGTATGAAATCTAAGGATAAACTTAAGGCTGTGGCTGAACATCAAGAGACACTAGTGATCACAATTTTTAGAATGGCTACTGAAAACATTTTCCTAAGTTTCTCTCATTTTCATAGTAACTACAATGCAAAGGCTTGGTGCTACAAGGTGCTTAGGCCCAGATTGGAAATTAGGAGCCTAAATACCTTTGAGGATCTGGCCCTTAGTGTTTTCACTTCCCTTTGGTTTCAGTGGGATTTGAGAGTGCTCAACACCTCACAGGATCAGTATAAATCCGTATAATTCTACCGCTGAATAATTTCTTTTTTAACATAACCAACACATGGTTCATATTAGTATTCTTTTAATAAAAAGCAGGAATATTTCCTGTACTGGAGAGCTGATAGTTTTCAGATATGCAAATCCAGACAGTTGGGTTGTACTGTTTCACCCAGCAGCACATCAAGAATCTCATCTAGAATCTTAGGAACAGGTATTGCCCAATCTCTCTCTGTCTCTAGCAGATAAACAGTTCAGCTTTTCACCTCCAAAAGTTTTATGACTGCAGTTAAGAGGGAGATTTTCAAAGATATGAATGGTAGTTAAGCACCTATTTCCTATTAAAAGTCCATGGGAGTTGGACACCTAATTGCCATTTGTGGCTTCAAAAATCAAATTGCTTTTAGTAAATGGAGGAAGACAAGGGAGAAGAA